GGAGTGACAAGTACCTATTTTATTAACCTTTCAGAAGAAGGCCATAGAAAATTGCAGGACCACTCATGTTCTTCGATAGGCAAAATTAATATTGTAAAAATGCCCATTCTACTAAAAGCGATGCACAGATTCAGAGCACTCCCCAGGAAAATCAAAATGACACTTATCCCAGAAATGGAAATAAAAAGTTTGAAATGCATTTGGAAGAATAAGAGACACAGAGCAAGAAAAGAAATAATAAGTAAGAGTGTCAAAAAGGAGGCAAAAAATACCTGATATGAAAATATACTACACAGCAGTAAAGTAAATAAAGCCTGGTAAGTCCACCAATATGAGCGTGAAGACCTAAGAAATAGAATAGAGGACACTGAGACAAAGTCACATGAGTCTAGGCATCTGATGTCTGACATGTTGACAAAAATCAGTTCTCGGGGAAGTCAGACTTGTTACGAGGGAAACTGGATAGCTATTTGTAGAAAAATAAAATAGGACTCCTGTACCTCACCCTGCACAAAACTCATATCAAATTGGTTCAAAAATATAGGAAATAGACAAGAGACTTCCAAACTTCCAGAAGAAAACCAGGGTCAAAAATCCAATATACAGGATCCTCACAGGTACCATTGGTGTAGATCCTGTAGCAAGTGCCGGATTCTCTCAAAGTGATTGGCTGTGTTTGATCTATGTGGTGGTTGACCCAAGGAGAATTCAACTGGATATCTTGAAAGAAGATGAATCTCAATTATATATATATATATATATATATACACACACACACACACACACACACACACACACACACAAGAGGCCAGATTTGAATTATTATTATTATTACTTTTTTGTAATATCTTCTTAAATTTAAACATGGACTTGTTTGACAGATGCCTTGTTACCTTGCATTTGAGGTAGAGATGCCTTAGTCTGATTTGGTTAGGCCACAGAGTACCATCTTTGATTTTAGAAGTAACTTTAAGCATTTAAACTGAATGTTAAAAAAAGTGATACAGGAGCTTGAATAGACGTTTTGTCCTTGATCTTCCATGATAGCCATCAGAATCAAAGAGGAAATAAACATTACTGTCCTTGGAGTCAATGACAGGCTTTGTGCATGAGTCTTATATAAAGGTCAATTATCTGATCGAACTTAAGCTTTTGCTAATATTAATCTCATTAGTTAAATAAGAGAAGGTCCTGGAAGGTCCATCCAAGCCAACCAGGAAGCACTGAGCAAACAGAAGGTCCAGGATGAAAAACAATGGATCCATTGCTGCTCATGCCAAACATCAATACTATATAAAGAGGAATCAAACTCATTCTCTTCAATAGCTCATCTACCCTGATCTCCTGAAGGACAGGAAGACAGATTGCAACAAGATGAAGACCTTTCTGCTCGCTCTCGGATTCACTCTGATTTGTGCTTCATCCCAGGTCAACCCAGCAAAGGTACCTGGATGGGCTGATCTTGGGGGTGATCTCTTCCTCGCTCCTTCTTTCTCTCTCTCTCCCCAAATTTCTCAATTTTAAGTGACATGGGATTTTAGGAGCATCTCAGTCCACATACATCTATAATCATGAAATGATCCTTCTCTACTTCTATATTGTAACTCTTTGTGTGACTATCACATTCTTCCTGAAGTAAGTTAATAAAATTTAAGGTGCCACAGTGTCACCTACTAGATACCCTACATTTGGTGATGTTGTTTAGCTATGTTACAGCCTCTCAATTCCATGCTCCCTGAGGGAATCTGACCTTATCGGATGGGATTCTGCCTCTGGAGAGTAGAGCCTGCTTGGCTACCTTCTCATTGTGATTGTTGTTTTCTTCTGAGCTAAATCAGGTGCCGTGGTTCTAATAAGTGTGGATGAGAGACGAGAAGGAGGAGCCAGTAGTCATTCCCAGGGGACCTTTCCTTTGCAGATCACTGGGGAATGGCTTACTATTCTCATGGGAGCTGATAACTTGGAGAAGATTAGTGAAGATGCAGATATGAGAGTCCGTTTACGTCACCTTGAATGTATTGATGCATGTGAGAAGTTAGCCCTCACCTTCTATGTTAAGTAAGTGAAAATTGTCCCCATGTTGAGAACTAAATAGTTCCCTTCTGACACGTGGGCTGGGCTCCAATCCATGGTGAGACGTTTTGATGATGCTCACAGAATGGAGTCTTCTGACCTCTTCATGGAAGTGTGTTCTTGCTTGTGAGGAAGATTGACATCAACAGGAGCACCCTAGAGAATCACCACTATTGGTGTTTTCTTGAAGGATATTGTAGTTTTGAGCTCCTGTTGAACAACATCCCTAACATAGAGACCCCAAGACAGTGAGCAAAGACTCATCCCTTGGAAACCCGAGCTTAGTGCAAAGGTCCATCATACCCCAGTATGAGTGCTGGACTCTTTCCATTCTCTGTCTATTGACAATAGTTTGCATCCATTAGCTTTAAGTATAAATTCAAAATAGCAAGATCTACACATTGATCATGATTCTTCAGCTGACATTTTCTATGATGATATTGAATCAATCAATATATATTTGACATGGAAGTTAATATCTGTAGGATGATTAGAATTGTGTGGATATTGGGATTGTGTGGCAAAAATTTAAAATCTGTATAAAATATAAATGTAACATATAGGTGTATATAGAATGTCTCATCTCCATGGTTCAAATTGAAATCATTGCTCATAAGAATGACTCAATGGTTAATCCAATGACCAAGTGTATATAAATAAACAACTATGACTGTCCTTGAAATAAAAACACAAATATGTCAATTACATCACGAAAGTCTTAAAGATTTGTTAACCAAACCAGGAGAAAAAAATTAAGAACTCGTTCATAGGAAGCAGATTCTGTTACAATTCAGACCATGAGTTTCAACACCAATTGGTAAGTGACGTTTTCAAACAAGCATCCCTTCCCAAGCTAAATGCAAAAAAAAAAAAAAAAAGAAAAAAAAAAGAAATTTTAAAAGACCATATGGCACCCCAAACGCCTCCAGTTAAAATGATTATTGATGAAGTTGAAGGTGAGTTTAAGATTGGGATATCAGTATTGGATCTTCTTTAAGACCAATACAACATTTTTGTAAGAATAGCTGAGGAATAAGGGACCTTCTCTTGGTTTGCGTTTAAGATCCAACGGGGAGTGTCAGAAGTTCACAGTGGTTTCCACAAAAGGACCTCATGATGTTTATGAAGTCGAGTGTGAGTATTTGCTCTAATGTGGACTGTGTGACCCAAGCCTTGAGGGGTGTTCAGATTCTTGGTCTTGGTGGGCACACACATCAGGGGGTGTGGAAACTGCCCACTATTAGCAAACTTCTCTTTGCTCATGCAACCTTGGAAAGGCTGGTGAACTGGTGAGCACTGGAGTCACCAGAGAGTTAGAATAAGGTCCATATCATCTCAGGTTCCCAAGTGGGATGTTGGTATAAATGATGGGTCAAAAGGGTTCCCTGTTTATATAGCTCATGGGATTCTCTGCATGGAGAGCTGTTTAAAACAACATTAAATACCACCAAAATTCCTGCAAAATTAGCCTTCTTCTCTGACAGATATGATCACTCTTGCTTTTCATTGAACAAACTATCTGAATACTAAAAAGATATGTACTAGACACACTATCAAGAATTTATGATCTGACAGTCTGAATCCCCAAATGTAAGAATGAGAATAGTAAAAAATAACAGCAAAATATTTACACTAAATTCAATCAAATTTAAACTTCAGCTAAAACAACCCAAAAAATATTACAGACTTCTACATTTTTGCTTTAACATAACAAATTTTCATAAACATCCTATAATATTAAAAGACCACTTGCCTACATGTTTCACTTGATGGAGACAAAAATGTTCAATATAGTATTCTAGTCTTGATCGGAGAAGATTCATTTCTCATTGGAATATGAATACACAGCAATATGTTTCAATAAGGTACAATTATATTTTAATATGCATATATTTGTATAGTTAAACATATATGTGTGTATGTATTGAAAAATAAAAGGGTAACATTTTTATAACATGAACATATGTATAAATATATGTGTGTGTGGGTATATATATATATATATATATATATATATATAATCGAGAGGGAGAGAGAGAGAGAGTTAGAGATATCCAGCTCTTATTATGGTTCAAGTTGAATGTGATGTATTCATTCGACATGAGTGGAATTACATGATAATATTGCTTAGATTGGATGAGTGAGTCATAAAATTGCTTAGGATTTGAAAATTTGTTGCTGTGGGATGATTTAGAAAGTGTGAGCTCTCCACCTACCATGATTCTGCAGATCTTGCTACCAGGGTCTTGACTCTCAGGAAATCACTTGCTATCCATGAATGCCTCGGGGATTCCAAGGTCAGGACTCTTTACCACATTCAGACAGGGACATGGAATTGTTGGCTTCTCGCTGCAGCTTCTGTGCCTGATTCTAACACAGGACATGGAACATTAGTGAAAGAGAGATTGTTGGGGGGAAAAGGGTCTATGATAGTGTGTTGCCAGCAACTCACACCAAATGATTTTTGTAAGAAAGGCGATAATTTAGAGTTTTGAAGTGTTTCTTTTTCAATGACAGATGCAGGACAAAATTTCTTCCAAATCGAGTACTTCTCCAATGGTATCATAGTATTTTATAATATACATGTGGATGGAAATGGCAAGGTTACTCATATGACCTCTGTTGTTGGTAAGTGTAAGTGACATGTACTCATTGAAGCACAGGATAGTAATTTGTTTTTTTTTTCTTTCTTTCTTATTTTTTTTTAAAGTTGAATTTAGATTATATGCCTATAATTGTGAATATGCAATGCTGAATCCAATCTTATAGAAAATTAAAAAGCACCAATGAACAATATGTAAACCTATTAATTTATATTAAAATTCAAATTCAGTTCACACATATCAGTACTAAGGACCATAGTGGTCTCCACCATCAACCCTTCATTTTATCATAATTTTTTGAATACTTTCAAAACTTAAAATTACCATTCTTAAAATAAATACTCAAGAACACCACTCATAACATACGCTGCTCCAATACTGCCAGGGATAAGACTTTTGCGTCTTGCCTCAGAGCAAACAAAAGATAAATTTGAACCTTTGAGGTCTTAGATTCACCTTTGAAATTGATGCAGCTTGAAACTTATTTTATCAAAATTAAAGAAAGATTTTCTTTTTTTGGTTGTTTTTTTCTTTTTGTTTTATTTTGTTTTTTGCTTTGCAGCAGGGATGACCATGCTAATGTGCTAGGAGAAAAGTTCAGATCAACACTTACAATCTTCTGATATTGAATACTGGATGAATGGTCCAGAATATGGGGGCATAAACTCTAGAATGTAGGCAGAGTTGAAATGAGAAGCCACAGTACAGAATATTTCCCAGAGCTTAGGTCCTGGAGGTGTTCTGGAAAATGAAAAAAAAAAATAGGCAGGTTTGAATTCACACAATAAAGGGTCTTGAATATCCCCAGTAGTCCTAAGAATTACAAGATGATATGATTTCCATAAGTGGAATTTACCCACATTCCTATATCACCCATAAATGACCTGGAAGTACTCTTAGTTAGTGCGATCAACTGGTCCACCTAGGACCCAGAGGAAGCTTTCTAACAGAAACCTCTTCCATATCCCCCATGAAACATAGCTAAGGAAGACAGTTTGAGTGAAGAACAGAAGAAGAAGTTTGAAGAGGTGACAGTGGCATCCAAGATTCCAAAGGAGAACATAAGAAATATTATTGAAACTGGTAAAGTCACTTTCCCTGTTCCTGAATTAATCTGAAATGAACCAGAGGAGAGGGAGTTTCATTCATATCTTCCATTTGGAAACCTCAAATCATTACACATTGAGCAACCCCAGTGATCTAGACTTTCCCTTCCCTTCTCTTTCACAGACAACTGTCCTGCTGCCTAAGGACCTTGTCTGATGAGCAGACACTTGAGGTTTGTACATCCTGACATTTTGTTTGGTTCAGTATTATTTTCCCCTTATGATACTTGGCATAGGTCTGAATGAGTGAAATGGTCTCTCCTTAAGTGTGTTGAATGAGTACATGCATTTAAAACATGGATCAAACAAAACTGCTTTAGTTTTCAGAGTGGAATCTTTTATTGGGAGACAGTAGGACAGCATTTTGAGAAGCCATGGACAATGGATAGTATTAACATTGGGGAATACATTACCTTGCAATGGTTAAATCTTCAATATCCCTAAAGGAGATTTCTCAAAGGCTTTCAGATTTTGAAGGGAAAGGTACAGGAGATTTAACGCACAAAGAATCTACCACTGAGTGACATCTCTACCACATCTTATTCTTTATTTTGACATGTCCTCTAAGACGCAGAAGCTGGCCTTGTACTTGAGATCCTCTTGCTCTTGATACAGTCTCTGAGTCCTCAGATTGGAGGCATGCACCATTGCTCCTGGCACAAAAAAAAATAATGTTAAATTGTTGCACACATGCACATGCATCTTAGGATCCCTCAAAGCAAGAGGTGACCTTGAAAGTGTAGGTTTCTTATGAAAGTGACCCCTGTACAACTCATACATGAACATATAAGGTCCAAGAAAAGAGTTGCATGTTAGTGTTTCTGCACTCCACTACCCAGGATTGGATTTTTCCTTTGCATTCTAACACTCCCCAATATCATATCATTAAGTTTGGCTTGGCCATATTTTACTTTGTTTTTCTTTTGAATCCTACAGATCCTAATGAGATCAGGAATGCTTGCAACATCATCTTTTCAAGGGCTCAGGAATCATCTCTATGACGATAAAATGCCCTTCTTTTATTAAAATTGTAATTTCTTCTTTTCTGTAGAGTTGCAAACCCTGTCTTAAGGATTACGCATTAGTTCTCTTCTATATCTTTCCTGCTATTTCTGTATTCCTAACTGATTAATAAATTTGACTTTATATGCACAAACTGTGTCTTTGGATAAGTTTATGACAATTTCAATTCACAGAAATATCTACTCTGATGCTATAGTCAACAGTGGATCTACAGGAGACAGGAGACCATTTTAGTTAAGGATGATTGTGCAACTGTGCAATGTATCATGAGTAC